GCCAGCGCGCCGAGGCGCGCCGCACCTACGCGCCCGCCGTCTCGGCCGACGACGCGGCCTCTTACGCGCTCCTGCGGCCCGCGGCCGCGCGCCTCGTCGACATGCTGGACGGGGTGCTGCTCCGCCTGCACGACGCCCGCATGCGCATGACGCACGGCGGCGCGTCCTCGGACGAGGACTCGTCGGCCGCCTCGGGCGAAGAGAGCAGCGGTGGCGGCGGGTCGCGGTCGGGCGGCGAGGCTAGCAGCCAGGGCGGCAAGAAGGGCAAGCGCCGCAAGAGGGGCCGGCCGAGGAGCGGGATCCCCGTCATGCCCGTCGAGCCCGTGCCCGAGTTCGGCCCCGAGGGCAAGAGGCGCCCCGGCCGCCCGCGCAAGCCGCCGGGGCTGCCGCTGCCCGGCGAGAGCGAGCGCGACATGATGATCAGGGTCGCCCGGGAGATGCACCGGCGCCTTCCCGTACCCTCGTCGTCCGACGAAGGAAAGGATGATGACGGCGACGACGAGGGTGACGATGATGACGATGGAGGCGCTGAAGGCGAGAAGAAGAAATCGGCCAAAAGATCGAAGACGCCCATCCCGCAACTGGAGGGGGAGACGGACTACGAGTACAGGCTGCGCGTCGCTAGAGCAAGGCATCTCAAGCGACCCCGTCCCGTCCCTGCCAAGGAGGAGCCGCCTCTCCACGACGCCATGGACGTCGACGGAAGCCCGGGCGGCACGGGCGAGCGACCCGGCGGCGGCGTCCAACAAGGAACACAAGGGCACAAAACACAAGGGCCGGACAGCGGCACGCAAAGGAGGACGCAGACCAGCGAGAAGGCCATGGCGCGCTGGCCGCTGCGCGACTGGGGCGACGTGGTGGGCGCTGCGGCCCTGGCCGGCTTCCCGCCCTCGGCCGTGGCGCGCGCCGCGCAGCGGTGCGCCAGCCTGTTTGGCCAGTCCATGGACATGCACACCGTCGTCGAGGTGCCCGCCGCCGCTGGGACGAAGCGGCAGCGCACAAAAAGAGACGGCGACAGCGGCGGTGGCGTCGGCGACGACGGCTTCCGCACCGCAACCTACCGCCCCGGCGCCGCGCTGTCTGACACCTCCCTCTCGTCCGGCTCCGACGCCGCCAGCGACCGGGCCGGGGCCGCGCCAGCAGCCGCGTCCGCATGAAGCGTCTGCACGAGCTGAGCCGGGCTTCGAGCGCCGCGCCGCAGTCGTCCGACGACGACGACGATGCGCAGGAGCAGCTGCCACGCGGCAGGCGGGCCAGCAGCAGCAGCCAGCCGGCGGCGGCGACGACGACGACGACG